AAGTATTTCTGTGGTATCATGGGGAAAACTGCCAACAGAGTAAAAGCTGTGAATTACAGAGTTTTTGTCTAATGAAGAACTGCATCCTTGTGAGTGCATAAATGACTTTTTAGGAGCAGTCACTGGGGGCGGGAATTTTGGAGGCAGGGTGGGTTCTGGCACCTTCCTTCATCAAGACAGCTGCGTCTCTGACAGCAGTGTCAGTCCTGTGAGCTGCTGCTGGAGAGCGCTGTGATGCAAGTCAGGCTGGTAGCTCTTGGAAAGAGAACATTGGTGCAGGACTGCAAGGCTGGTTTCTCGGCAGCAGCCACAGTCAGGTCAACTGCAGGGGATCCCTCTGCAGTTACCTGATGAGCTGGAACCAGTTCACTTAGCAGAGCATTTCTTGGCCAGCTGGACTGGGCTGTTGGTTTGGCAGATGGAAGTGTGAATGTGTCTCAGCACACGAAGCTGATGGTTTGGTCTCTGAGAGGTGGACTTCATGGGAGCAGGAGGCTGCAATGTGTGGCTGTACAGGAGCTGAGAGCTTGGATCAGTCTGGGAATTTCTGGCAAGAGACTATCTGTGGGCTAATGGCACTGACAAGGCAATTTGCTGGCCAGGTGTTTTTCTTGGGCATGGTTTTGTTCAGTGGTAGAGCTTACCCTAAAGAGACTAGTGCCCTAAGGAGTGTTGTTTTGTTTCTGATTTCTCTAGCTTGAAGCTGTTAGCTTTGATTGTGCAAGTAGTTGCTTTGTGATTGCTGTGGATGTAAAAAGCTTTAAAGATCCTTCTTGGTGCTTTGAACTTTGGGTATGAACCAAGTTCGAGCAGACATACGCGACTCTGCCTTGATGTCCAGTAAAGGTGGGAACATTGTTGGTGAGGGCTGCGGATGGAAGTTCAGGTTTTAACATCAGCTGGTGAGGAGTAACACCTCTCTCTCTTTGTCCTAGGAGGAGCATTTGGTGGCTTGCTTGGTGCCTGGATGACTAGTGGACAGTTCAGGCCAGTCCCTCAGATTTTACTGGAATTGCCTCCGGCTGAGCAGCAGAAACTCTACGATGAAGCCCTTGTTATTCTCAGGCGCTTAGACTGGACTGACGTTGCTCAGCTGACTGCTCTTGTAATGGGAAATGCTAGTCTCCAGCAGAAGTTGACAGCAGTGCTGGTAAACTACCTCTCCAAAGAGCTAAGAGCAGAGATACAGTATGGAGAGTAAGCCTTTCCAGAGCAGGCTTTTCTCAGTGTAATGAATTTT